GAACCCCAAGAAAGGCTTGGGCCCCGATGGCATCGGCACCTCGGTATGGCGTGCCGGCGACGAGGCGTCGCTCGACGCGTTCCTGCCGTTGTTCGACCTCTCTGCTTCTCGATGCCAGCTCCCCGTCTGCATGAAGGGGGGCAAGATCTTCGACATCTTGAAGCGCAAGGGCGATATCTTCTTGCCCCCGAAGAATCGCGGCATCTTGGTTTCCGACCACCTGTCCAAGCTCTACACCATGCAGATCTCGGACCCTGTCTACCAGGTATTGCCTGATGCAGTAGGGGATGCGCAGTGTGGCGCAGTCCCACGACGAGACACGCTTCTCCTGACCGTCGGTTTGCAGACCTTCGTCGAAAGAGCGATCCACATGCGCCAGCGCTGGGCCATCTTACTCTTCGACCTGGCCAAAGCCTTTGACAGCGTCCTCCGGGAGTACCTCTACGGAGCAGGTCACCGACAGCTACGCGCACTTGCGGACCAGCCGCATGATCTAGGCATCCCGCGCGACGTGGCCGACGAAACCCAACGCCACCTGCAGAACAACCCCTCGCTCCTCCGAGCAGCGGGCATGGGCGAGCACGCCACCGCAAGGGCTGCTGACCTCCACTCGAGTAAATGGTTCCCGGTGCGAGGTGATACGCGGCCCTGTGGTCGCCGCAGACCGCGGCGCTCGTCAGGGCTGCCGGCTCGGCGCGGCGTGCTTCAGCATCGCCCGCGAGCTGGCCCTCAAGCGAGTGTCGGGGGCGGGCAGAACCCCCAACCGTGACACGTCGATTCGTGAATTGTCCGTTTTCGGTTCTCGAGAGGGCGCCGCGGCCGCTATGTTCCAGGCTTGCGCCCGCCAGGTTTGGGCCTCAGGTCGTTTTCGCTGAACCACGTTTTGCTAAAGGGGGTCCGTTCATCCCCAAGAGTGCGGCACAGATTCCAGGAAGCGGCATCCAGCTCAGCATGCAGATGTCCACGCACGCCTCCGTGCCCTGGGCAACTGATTTCGACAGCAGCCCCGATCACGTCACTTTGCAGCAGGCTCCCAACGACGAGCAATGTGTTGACGACGTCACATTCGAGATCCTGGCCGACTCCCCTCAGGAGTTGCTCGCCCAGGTTGACCCAGCAGTGGACATCATCACCGAGGAGTTCCGCAGGGTCGGCTTCGTGATCAACCTTGGACCTGGGAAATCTGCGATCATGGCGCGGATGTACGGCCAGGGCTCCCGTGCGACCTGGAGGGCACGTTTCCTCTCCATGGGGCGGTCGGTCTATCGATCACCTGCAGGACTAGAGTTCGAAGTTGTACATGATTTCCCGCACCTCGGCACAACGCTGCAAGCGTCTGGTCGGCACATCTTGGATGCCACGCAAAAAACATCCAAGGCCCAGCAGCCCTACGCCCCCCTAGCGGTGCGCATTTTGGGATGCAATTCCCCACGGTGCTCCACGCGATCGACTTTAGCTACAAGCTTGGTTTTTTCGAAGAGTCACTACGGCATATCAGCCTGGCGTGGAGACGACCCTCAAACCATGGCCACTATGAATGGCCAGTACCATCGTGTCCTCAGGAGGATCTCGGGCGACATGCGCTACGGGGCCCCCCCCTGACACGGCCACCGACGAGGAGGTCAGGCAGAAGGTGCACGCCCCGCTCCTCGCGTCGATGGTCCGGGCCTGGAGGCTCTCCCAGCTCGCACCCCACTTCACGGCAGCGCCAAAGGTAGTCCAGATGATGGTCGAGGCTCTCCCGAAGCCCCCGTCGACGCAGATGCTGCTCTACGACCTCGAGCAGTTCGCGGTGGTTTTCCCCGACGTGGGGCAGAAGCTCGGCTCGCCCTCCGCACACCCGGAGAAGTGGAAGGCATACATCGTCGAATCCCCTCGGCGCTGGAAGAGCCAAGCCGCCCTGGTGAAGTGGTGGATCCCTGACCGGCCCGACCCGCCGGCCACGCGCAGGCTGAGGGGGAAGCAGACCCCTCCCCCCCCGCTGCCTCGGCCAAGCCTCTCCTCACTTGCCCCGCCTGCGGCAAGCAGTGCAAGGGTCCGCAAGGCTTGGCCGCGCATTTGAAACGCAAGCACGGCAGGAAAATGATTGTTCGTAGCTTCTGCATTGGATCAGTGTGCCCAGCTTGTGGTGTAGATTACCACACCCGCCCTAGGGCGTTGCACCACATACAATTATCTTCCAAAGCGTGTCGCGCCGCGATGCTCGCAGGAGAGCTGCCCGAGTGTAGCGCGGAGGAGATATCCGCCGCGGATTTGCGCGACCGCATCGCGCAGAAGGCCGCTAACCTTCGCGGCGACACCCGGGCGCGCGCACTAGCCCCGCCCTCGCGCGGCCCTGGCGCACGCAAGCGTGGAATTGGCCCGCGGGACCCCTCCGGACACCAGCGCCCAGCGAAGGTCCGACGACACAGGTAGAACACGATTCATATCGAGACGATTTTTCGGGTCAGCCGCCGTGATGGCAGGGGTTCCTTTTCTCCTGGTGTGAGTTCTTCTCCCCTTTGAGCAGAAGCACCACGCCTCGTGCTGCTGGGGTTTTTCTCGACACAGCAGCAGTCACTGAAGAGCCCCAGGCACCGCCTATAGCCAGCGCGAGACAAAGTCACCATCCTCATCATCCTCATCATCCTCATCCTCATCCTCATCCTCATCCTCCTCGGGGTTCACGCAAACCTGCGCCAAGCCAGTGGTGCAATGGCGCATACTGCAGGACGCGAAGACCAACGGCATATACAATATCAGCTGCAACCGCCCCCGATACTTACAGAAGGTGGCAGAGTTCTGGAACAAATAGAGCGAGGGCGTTCATGTAAAGGCAGAGCCCTTGGAGGAGAGTGGTTGCATCCTCCTTTTCTCTTGGGTTTACGCAAAACCTGCGCCAAGCCAGTGGCGTCGTGTCGCACACTGCAGGACGCGAAGTACAACAGAATATGCAAGACCAGTTGCAACAGCGCCTGACAGATGTGAAGAAAGTAGCAGGGTTTTGAAAATTATCCTGGCGAAGGACCCAACCATATGCAGTTGTGAGTAACGCGTTGTGGGTGCCGCTCTCGGTGGAACTCCCTCTGGGGCCAAGAAGCGCATGAGGGACGTGCCGTAATGGGTAGGGGAGACGCATGTGGGCGGTGCCACTGGGGCCTTCGGTGGGGCTGCCGATGGGCCACGAAACGTTGTCCTGGGTGTGGCTGACGCATGCAGGCGGTGCCCCTCGCTGGAGCTCCCGATGGGGCCACGAAACATTGTATTGGTTAGGGGAAACGCATGCGGGCGGTGCCGCCGGGATCTTTCTGTGAAGCTCCCTACGGGGCCACGAAACGCTGCACTGGGTGGTGGCCGACGCCTGCGGACGGTGCAACTGGGACCTTCGGTGGAGCTCCTTATGGGGCCACGGGAGGGGGGGAAGCATGCGGGCAGTGCCACTGGGGCCTTCGGTGGCGTTTGGAGCTCCCTACGGGTCCACGAAACGCTGCACTGGGTGGTGGCCGACGCATGCGGGCGATGCCACTGGGACCTTCGGTGGAGTTCCTTATGTGGCCACTGGAGGGGGGGACGCATGCGGGCGTTGCCACTGGGGCCTTCGGTAGCCTTTGGAGCTCCCTACGGAGCCACGAAACGCTGTACCGGGGGTGGTGCACGCGGGCGGTGCAACTGGGGCTTGGTGGAGCTCCCAATCAATGGGGCTGCGAAATGCAACTGAGTGGTGGACGACGCATGCGGACGGTGCAATTGGGGTCTTTCTGTGGAGCTCCCTATGGGGCCACGAAACGCTGTACTGGGTGTGGCCGACGCATGCGGACAACCCCTCTGGGGCCTTACGTGGAGCTCCCTATGGGGCCACGAAGCGCTGTATTGGGTGTGGCGGACGCATGTGGCCACCCCCACTGGGGCCTTGCGTGGAGCTCCCTATGGGGCCACGAAACGTTGCACTGGGTATGGCGGACGCACGTGGCCACCCCCACTGGGGCCTTGGGTGGAGCTCCCTATGGGGCCACGAAACGCTGTATTAAGTGTAACGGACGCATGTGGCCACCCCTACTGGGGCCGCAGGTGGGGCTCCCTATGGGGCCACGAAGCGCCGTACTGGGTATGGCGGACGCATGTGGCCACCCCCACTCGGGCCTTGGGTGGAGCTCCCTATGGGGCCACGAAGCGCTGAATTAAGTGTAACGGACGCATGTGGCCACCCCTACTGGGGCCTTGTGTGGAGCTCCCTATGGGGCCACGAAACGCTGCACTGGGTGTGGCGGATGCATGTGGCCACCCCCAGTGGGACCTTGGGTGGATCTCCCTATGGGGCCACGAAACGCTGTACTGGGTGTGGCGGACGCATGTGGCCACCCCCACTGGGGCCTTACGTGGAGCTCCCTATGGGGCCACGAAACGTTGTAATGAGTGGGTGAAACGCATGGAGGAGGGGGGAGGGGAGGAGGGGGAGGAGAGGAGGGGAGAGGAGGGACGCGGGGACCGTCTCATCAAAACGAAGACCCAACACCACAGGATGGTTGGGAAAAAGCATCGAGCGGTAGCGTGCATGCAAAGGCAGGGCCTTGAAAGGAGCGTGGCTACCTACAATCTGCTCCTCCTCCTCCTCCTCCTCCTCCTCCTCCTCCTCCTCCTCCTCCTCCTCCTCCTCCTCCTCCTCCTCCGCCCTCTCCCCTCCTCCTCCTCCTCCTCCTCCTCCTCCCCTCCTCTCCTCCTCCTGCCCTCCTCTTCCTCATCCCTCCTTTCCCCCTCCTCTCTCCTCCTCCTCCTTCTCCCTCCCTTCCTCCTGCCCTCCTCCTCCATGTCCTCCTCCTCCTCCTCCTCCTCCTCCTCCTCCTCCTCCTCCTCCTCCTCCTCCCCTCCTCCTCCTTCCTCCTCCTCCTCCTCCTCCTCCTCCTCCTCCTCCTCCTCCATCATCATCTCATCATCATCATCATCTCCTCCTCCTCCTCCTCCTCCTCTCTTCCGCCACTCTGTTCTTGCTCCGCATCCGCCACTCTGTTCTTGCTCCGATGCAGGAGAGCATTCGAGGAGGTGCTCCACTGAGGCGCGCGGACTTCTGCACTGGGGAGGCGCCGGTGCGAAGTCTTGGCCTCCGCGTGCTCTGCCCATCTGCCTTCACCTTCTCCTCCTCCTCCTCCTCCTCCTCCTCCTCCTCCTCCCCCTCCTCTTCTTCCTCACTCTTAAGAATCTTCGCATCCTCCTCCCCCTCCTCGTCCTCCTCAGCCTCCTCCTCTTCACCCTCATACTCCTCGCCCTCCGCTTTCCTGATCATCCCCCTCCTCCTTCTCCTCCTCCTGCTCTCCTCCTTCTCCTCCTTTCCTCCCCTCCTCCCTCCTCCTCCCTCCTCCTCCTCCTCCTCCTCCTCCTCCTCCTCCTCCTCCCTCCTCCTCTCCTCCACTCCTTCTCCTTACCACTGTCGCACCCCGAGGCAAGTTTTTAGGGCGGTCCAGGCGTTTCGCCTAAGACTTCATCACCATGTATGACTCTGAAGCTTAAAAGTTGGAAAGAGTTTCACAGATGAAGAGGGGGCCGTTTTCAAAATGTGGCTCTCGCCGTAGCGCCGCGCACATTCGTTTAGAAAATTACAAGAGTTTCACGGACTGAGGGCGAGTCGTTTTCAACATGTGGCTATCGCTTTAGCGCCGCGCACATTCGTTTTAAAAATTCGCAACAGCTTCACGGATTGAGGGCGAATCGTTTTCAAAATTTGGTTCTCGCTGCAGCGTTGCGCACATTCGTTTGAAAAATGCAAGAGCTTCACGGATTGCGGGCGGTTCCTTTGAAAAATGTGGTTCTCGCCATAGCGCCGCGCACATTCGTGCATACAAGTTGCAAGAGTTTCGGGGGGTCCCATGTCAACGTACCAGGACTGGTGTTTTGGAAGGGTTCTGGCTTATGAGAATGCACCAGCCATGGTGATTCGCGGTGTTCAAGTCCCAGGAATGGCGTTCTGGCAAGATTCAGGATCGTCAAGACGCAACATTCAGGTTGATCCGTGGCGTTGGAATCCCGAGAACAGTGCTTTGGCATGCTTCAGGGTCTTCAAACAGTTGTCTTCCAACGAGGCAGTTCCCTCAGTAAAAATGAGCCGTAGTAGGGGCCTATGGAGAGGGAGCTTGGAGGGAGGGTTTATTCCAACTTTGTTGATGCCCCTTGGGTTTACACTGGTAATCCTCCTCTTCCTCCTCCTCCTCCTCTTCCTCCTCTTCTTCTTCTTCCTCACTCTACGACGCCTCGCCTCCTCCTCCTCCTGCTCTTCCTCTTCCTCCTCCCCCGTCCTTCTCCAATAGTTTGTTATCTGGAATCCTCCTCCTCATCACCATGACCCTACTCGTCGTCACCGCCATCACGAAAAACAGAATCACCATCAGCATCATCATCACAATTATCAGCATCATCAACATCATCAGCACGGTCATCGTCATCAGAATCACCATCATCGTCATAATCCTGATCATCAACATCATCATCAGCAGCATCAGCATCCTCATCCTCATCATCGTCATCATAATCCTGGTCATCCTCATCCTCATCATTATCATCGTCATGTCATCTTCATCACCATCACTGTCATCATCATCCTCATCATCATCAGCAGCAGCAGCATTACCATCATCATCAGCAGCATCAGCATTATCATCATCAGCATCATCATCAGCATAGTCATCATTGCCGTCATCACCATCGCATCATCATCAGCATCAGCATCATCAGCATCGTCGTCCTCATCATCAGCATCATCATCATCACCATCATCACCCTGATCATCAACATCATCAGCATCATCATCCGCATCAGTATAAGTGGCATCATCAGCATAAACAGCATCGTCATGATCATCGTGAGCATCACCATCATCATCCTCATCCTCAGCATCAGTACTGTCATCTTAATCATCATCAATAGCATTATCACCATCCTCCTCATGTTCCTCATCAGCATCAGCATCGTCATCATCATCAGCATCACCAGGATCATCACCAACAGCAACAACAAAGCCAACATCCACAGAAACATCAACAGTATCAGCACCATCAACATCATCATCAGCATCATCATCATCATCAGCAGCACCGTCAACGTCGTCACCAGCAACAGCATGATCACCACCAGCATCATCAACAGCAGCAGCATCCTCACATCATCATCATCATCAGCAGCAGTAGCAGCAGCAACATGTTCAGCATCATCAGCATGGCCTTCATCAGCATCATCAGATTCGTCATCATTACCATCATCCGCAGCATCATAATCATCATCCTCATCCTCATCCTCGTTCTCCGCCATGCCATGCCAGGCCTCCCACCCGCCTGCCTCCCTGCCCTCCGTCCCTCCCATCTCTTCTTCCTCCTTCGGAGGGCCTTCCCTCTCTACCCGCTCGGCGGTGCCGCGCAGGCCGATCGAGGCAGTCCTTGAGACCGGAAGTGGGTTCTCCCCCCCCCTTTCGGGAGAGGAAAGCCAAGCGGAGGAGAAGGAGGAGGTGGGGGGGATGAGGAGGGGGAGGAAGGAGGAGGGAGGAGGAGGGAGGACCAGGGGGGGAAACAGGGGAGAGAGAGAGAGAGAGTGTGTGTGTGTAGGAGGAAGAAGAGGAGGAAGAGGCTGAGGAGGAGGAGGAAGAGGAGGAGGAGGAGGAAAAGGAGGAGGAGGAGAAGAAGGACGACGACGACGACGAGAAGTAGAAGCAGCAGCAGAAGCAGAAGCAACAGGAGTAGGAGCAGCAGCAGCAGCAGGATCCAGAGGAGGGGAGAGGAAAGGAGGAGGAGGAGGAGGAGGGGAAAGGTGAGGGCGGAGGAGGAGGGGAAGGAGGAGTAGGAGCAGCAGCAGCAGCAGCACAAGCAGGGCGGGCAGGAGAAGGGGGAGAATGAACAGCAGGAGCAAGGCGAGAAGGAGAGAGCAAGGGGACGACGACAAGAGGAAGGGAAAGAGGACGGGAAGGGTCAGGAGAAGGGGGAGCGAGGGGACGGGAAGGTGGAGGAGCAGCAGCACCGGGTGTCGGCGGGGTAGGAGGCGAAGCAGAAGGACGAGGAGGCACAGCAACAGCAGGAGCAGGAGCAGGACGAGAAGTACGAGGGGGAGGATGAGCCAAGGGCGGGTTGAGGGAGCGGGGGGAGGAGAAAGAGGAGGAGGAATCAGGAGGAGGAGGACATGAGGAGGAAACAGGCAAGGAGAAGAAAGGGAAGGGAGAATGACGAGAGAGAGAGAGAGGAACATAACAGGAGGAGGAGGAGAAGCATGAGAAGGAGGAGGAGGAGGAGGACGAGAGGGTGACAAGGAACAGGGGAAGGGGGAGGGGGAGAGCGAAAGGAGGACAGGATGAGCGGGATGTCATGAGTAAGCTTTCCTCCTCCTCCTCCTCCTCCTCCTCCTCCTCCTCCTCCTCCTCCTCCTCCTCCTCCTCCTCCTCCTCCTCGTGGCGGCTCCCGCGGCCTCGCGCGCCCGCGTCACGCGCGGGCCCCGCGCGCCCCGGCCGCCAGCGCCAGCGCCGCCGCCAGCCTCCGCGAGCCGCAGCCCCAGGCCTCCGCCCCGCCGACGGCCGCCAGCCGCGCCGCCCCCCGGCCAGCCGCTTGTGGTCGGCGGCGGCGCCGCCGCCTCTGCCGCCGCGCGGCGCGCTCCCGTCGCCCCAGCTGCGCCCGCGCTTCCCCGGCAGCCCCGCGGCGCCTCGCGGCCTCGCCCCCCCCAGGAGCTCTCTGCCTCACGCCGACCGGGCTGCGGCCTGACGCCGCCTTGGCAGGTGCCTCGGGCAGCCCCAGGCCCGCGGCCAGTGGACGGCCCGCCAGGCGCTCAGCTGCCCGGGGAACGGGGCTGGGCGCGCCGCCGGGGCGGCCACGCCGAGGTGTTGCACGCCTCGGCGCTGGCCCGCGGCAGCGCGGCGGCCAAGCTCTGGCGCGCCGCCAAGAGCGCAGCCGCGTCGCCGGCCGCCCAGGTGCGCAGGAACTCCTGCGCATCGCGCCCAGGCATGCCCAGCGTCTCAAGCGCGAACGCGTGCAGCGCCTCGCCAGGGTGGCGGCGGCGCTTGCGCTCCTCCGCTGCGGCCGCCGCAGCCCCTGTCGGTCCAGGCGCGGTCTCGCCCCGCCAGCGTCGCGGCCCCGGCTGCAGCGTCAGTCACCACGACGTCCACGCACGCGGTGCCGACCTCGGGGTCCGCATAGGTCACGTCCATGCGGGCTGCCTCAAAGCGGCCGCCCTGGCAGACCTTGTCCCGCGCAGGGGCGAGCTGCTCGGTGTCCACGCCCTTCGCCCCGCGCTCCTTGAGCCAGCGCGCAAGCCAGTCGCGGATAGCGCTGTGGCGCGCTATCGTCTCCGCGCCGGCATGGCAGCCCAGGGAGTGGGTCGGAGCCCGCGCGAGGTCCGCTCCGAAGGTGCGCCCGTCGGCGCGGCGGCGCTGGCAGGTGGCGCAGGCGTCGGCAGGCTTCGGAGGGCGGAGGCGCAGCGCCAGGAGGTGATCGTCCAGCGTCGACGGGAGAAGCCAGCTGCCCGCGCCTTTTTCCGCTTGCTGAGCGAAGCTGGGCTGCCGGCCCCGGTGGCCGCGCCGCCAGGAGCCGCTTCCAACACTCGCCCAGCTCCTGCCACGAGCACCACGAGCCTCGTGGTGCGCGAGGGCCTTTTGCGCCTTGCGCTTCGGCTCCGCCGCGGCCCGGCGCCACTCGCACGCGCCAGGGCTCGCTGCCAGCCAGCTCCGCCGCGCCCCAGAGCGCTGGGCGGCTCGAGGCGGAGGCCCCCGAGCTGGCTTCGCCCAACTCCCGCCGGACGTCAGCCAGGCGGCGGAGCCACGAGCCGGCGAAGGCGGCGGGCCTGCGATGGGTCCTGCTGTGCGCGCCCACCCCGCCCCCCTGCCAGGGAAAGGAAGAGCTGCCCACGTGCGTCCGGCGGCAGGGGCCGCCCGAGGGGGCCTCCCAGGTGCCCCACCACCCAGTTGTCGCAGTCCTGGCGCCACGCCTCGCGGGGGAGGTGCGCCCGCGCGCGGCGCAGCGCCGCCCCGTTCGCGAACGCCCTGACAAGGACCGCTTCGTCTTGCGCCGTGGGCCCGCGCGCTCACAAGCTGCGCAGCTTCCCGAGATGGGCGGTCAGGTGCTCGGTCGCTGCCGCCAGGGCCGCTGTCGGCAAGAAGCTTGCCCTCGCTGGGTCGGCGCTCGGCCCTGCTGCCGCCGCTCCACCGCGCACGAGCGGCAGCAGCGACCCGAGGCGCTGCATCTGCTGCACGACCTGCCCGGCCAGAGACGCCGGGAGCTGCAGACCCCAAGGGTTCCGGACTTGCGTCTTGGCCGCGTTCACCCTGAGGCTGACTCGGCCGAGGGCACCGGGAGCGGCGGCGTGCGCTGCCTCCTGCGCTGCCGGCGTGGCTTTTAGGCAGCTGTCGTCTAAGTGGGCCAGCAGGCGCGCTTCGGGGTCGACGGCGGCGGCCGCCTCGAGGGCGAGGTACACATCCGACACGGCGAAGGCGAAGAATGCGGGCGACAGGGGGCAGCCCTGGTCAAGGCCACGATCCGCGAGCACAGGGTGGACGTTCCCCTCTGGCAGGACGGCGCCGCGCGTTGTGACGCCCCCGTACCACGCGGCCGCCGCGCCAGCCAGCTCGGGCAGCTTCGCGGACACCGCCTGCAACGCAGCGCCCTGGTCGACCTCGTGAAATTTGCTCGGCGCGTCCAGCTTGAGCAGGGCATTGTTCGGCGGGCGTCCAGCTTGAGCAGGGCATTGTTCGGCGGCTTCGGCTTCTCCAGAGCACCAGCGACCACCCGCTGCATGACCAGAGCGCCGCTCTTCTGGCCCACCCCAGACTGCTGGGGCCCCACCGCCGCGGCGATGGCAGTCTTGTCGGCGTCGGTGGCAGCCTTGCCCGCCATGCGCTGCAGGGTCTCGCCGCGCTCCTGTGGGCGGATGCTCGCGGGCGACTTGCGCAAGGGCAGAAGCCTGCCCCGCAGCATGGCCCGAGCCGCTCGCTCCGGCATCTGGCCGCGCAGGATCAGCTCCAAGACTTGCGCCATCACTTCTGGCCCCTCTGGACGCCCGCGGAGCGCCGCCCAGTGCTCGAGCCGCGCCCCCGTCAGGCCAGGCCCAGAATGCCTCGGGAACTTGTTCAGTGCGCTAGAGACCTTGGTTGCTGCCCCTCCCCCCCGAGTCGTCGGAGCCACATGCGGCGAGGGGCCACAAGGAGCGGGCGCAGCAGGGAACAACGCGGCCAACTGGTTCGCCACGCCTGCGCCTGTGGCCAGCATCTTGGGCCCGCCCGCTACCGCAGCCGCCCGGCTGACCTCGCCCAACATGGTGAACTCGTGCACTCGGAGGGCCTGGGTTTCCGCACTGCGTTGCGGCTACGCCGCCCCCATCTCCTGCTCGCCTGGGCGCGCGGACTCGGCCCACAAGGTCACCCAGTCGCCCGCCCATGCCTTGCGCAAGCGGTTCGCCGCCACCTCGGTCGCGGACGTCGCCGACGGCCGTGCCCAGGCACGGCGGGCTGGCGGCCCACGCGGGCACCCGCTCGAGCAGCCACGCGGGCACCCGCTCGAGCAGCGCTGCGCGCGGGCTGTGCCCACCCCACGGACGGCCAGGCAGCTCCCGGGCCTCGGCGGCCTCGCCGTGGCGCGCTGGGACGTCGCGGACGGGCGCGCCCTCCCCCGCCCCCTCGGCGTCGAACGCCGGGTGCCGGGGCGACGCGAGCCCATGCCTGCCCCGGGCATGCCCTGACGGAGCGGCCGGTCCTGGCGCGCTGCCCGGGCGAATGCCTCCCGGGATATGCGCCCCGCGGGTGGCGAAGCTGCCGGTCCGGGGGTGGGCGGTGCTCGCGGGCCGCAGCTCCCCCGCGGCGCCAGCCCCGAGCAGCACAGGGCGCACGCTGCCACTCGTCCGCGTCGAGGCCGGAGGCTCGCTCCCCGCCGCACGGGAGCGCGCCCCGCCGCGCGCCTCTGGCGGCAGCGGCGGGCGGCGCGGCAGCGGCGGCAGCGGCAGAGGAGCCTGCGGCGCCTCCGTGGCCACCTTCGTCGGCCCCGCCCCGCTCGAAGAGCTTCGAGGTGGGCGTCCAAGGCCCTGTGCATCCTTGCCGCGCATCCCCATGATTCAGGAGGAAAAAAAAAACAGACAGACACAATGGATCGTCGATTCCAGGGAAACGATGCGAACATGGGGGAAGTGGGGGGAAGAATGAAACCCAGGGATCTTGTTATTTGTGTGTGTGTTTATGTGTGTGCGTTTGTGTGAAAATATGAGGGAAACATGTGTGGAAGATGTGTGCAAATATGATGTTTTTTATGTGTGTGTGTTTATTTGTGTGTCCCGGGGCCCCTTCGATGATACGGGTGGACGGGTGGACCGCAGTGGCCGTGGGCCCCGCCCCTCCGGGGATGCCTCCGGGTGGGCCTCTGGGGGAGCGGCCCTGGTGGTCCCCCCAGCGGTGGCGCGTGGCAGAGGTCTCCAGAGGGCCTTGGACGGGCCCAGGAAGGCCGAGCACAGTTCGACCTGCAAATCTTAAGTCGGGCGTGTCCCCCTACAGGGGGATTTTCGACGATGAATAAAAAATACCCCAAACATACCCCAAAAAGGTTAAAAAAAAAATGAAAAATAGTCCCCAGACTATTTTTGGATTATTATTTTGATTATTTTTAGAGTATTTTAAATTTTTCGTCGAAAATCCCCTGTAGGGGGACAGGCCCGACTCAATTAAAGTCTCGATGTGTCCCTCGCTCTTCAAGCCTCGGCTCCACTGCTTGCCTCGAGCCTCGGTGCGCCGATGCTCGGACCTCGGAGCTCTGTAAGTTGCTCGCATCGCATCTGTCCCTCGGAGTCGGGCTCCTCAGGGCCTCGAGCGATGCTTTTTCGTCCCTATCCCTCGAGCAATCTCCAGCGTCGATCTTCCGAGCCTCTTATCCCTCGGACCTCGGATTTGCCTGTCCATCGGATCCTCGCACCTCGATCCTCGGGCCTCGATCCATCCTCTGGGCCCCCCATCCCCTCAACCCATCGATCTCTCTATATCCTTTACCGTCATCGGCCTGACCTAAGGAACGATAAATAAGGAACGAAGCCCCTTTATTCTCCAGGGAATAACGCATAAGGAACAACAACTAATCAATAACGTATACGGGACGATGAATAACGCATGCAATCCTAAGGAACGACGGAGCCCCTTTTGAAAAGTTAGTGCTCCTTATTTAAGTCGCTCACTGTACTCGGCGGCGAGCGAGGGGGGGAGTGAGACGGAGAAGGCCCTCTCAGAAGGCGGCGGGACTTCCCAGAGGCCCTCCAGACTTCTGAGAGGCTCTCCGCGTCTTCGGGGGGACGGCTCAGAGAGACATTCTTCAGAAGGCCGTGGACTCCCGAGCCTGCCGAGAAGACCCGCACTTCCTCACCTCCCCCTGGGCTTCGCCGCCGAGACCCATCCATCCCTCGATCCTCGACCCCTCGATCCTCCATCCCTCGATCCTCGATCCCCCTCGATGCTCGAGCCCTCGATCCCAGGAATGGCAGACGAGGGAGGAGGGAGGATCAAGGGAAGAGGGAAAGACGAGGAGGGAGGAGCAGCAGGGAGGGGAGGGAGGAGGGAGGGAGGGAGGGAAGGAGAGAGGGAGGAGGAGGGAGGAAGGGAGGAGGAGAGAGGAATGGAGATCCTCCATCCTCCGACCTTCGGACCTCGAGCGGCCTTCGCCCCTCCGGGCAGGGCGCCCCCGCCTGCCTGCGGACGCTCCGCGGCGTTCTCGGGAGGGGGAGCGGGAGGAGGAGGAGGGGATGGCTCCCACGAGGCGAGGCGGAGGAGGTGGAGGAGGAGGACGAGGACGGGGAGGAGGAAGAAGAGGGCGAGGAGGACGAGGACCAGGAGGAGGAGGAAGAGGACGAGGAGGACGAGGAGGAGGAGGAGGACCTGTGCAGGCCCACGGCTCGTCAGCGACGTTGGAATAGACCCTCCCTCCAAGCTCCCTCGCGGGGAGACAGCAGCTTGAAGACCCTGAAGCATGCCGCATGTTAAAACACCATTCCCTTAAAACACCATTCCCGGGACTCCAACGCAACGGAGATGCTTGATTGTTGCGCCTCGACGATCCTGCAGCGTGCCAGGACACCGTTCTTGGGAATTCAACATCGCGAATCAGCGTAACTGTTGCACTCTCACAATCCTGAATCCTTCCAAACACACAACTCCTGGTACGCTGACCTTGGAAATCCGCGAAACTCCTTCAACTTCTTCAGACGAATGTGCGCGGCGCCAGGACGAGAGCCACATTGTAAAAACGAGCCGCCCTCAATCCGTGAAATTATTGCAAGTATTCGTTTAACGAACGTGCGCGGCGCTAAGGCGAGAACCACAATGTAAAAACGAGCCGCCCTCAATCCGTGACACTTGTGCACATGCTTGAAAATAATGTGCGCGGCGCTGGGGCGAGAGCCACATTTTGAAAACGACCCGCCCTCAATCCGTGACAGTTGTGCAAATGTTTAAAAAGAATGTGCGCGGCGCTAAGGCGAAAGCCACATTTTGAAAACGACCCGCCCTCAATCCGTGAAGCTCCTACTATCTTTTGAGACCAATGTGCGCGGCGCTCAGAGCCACATTCTGAAAACCACCCGCCCTCAATGTGTAAAACTGTTGCCAACGTTTGAACTGCAGAGTCACATTGGTGAAGAAGTCTGAGGCGAAACGCCCGGCCCACCTTTTCGGCTGGGCCCGGGGTGCGACAGGGAGGAGTTGCTCAGAAGGAAGGAGAGGAGGAGGAGAAGGAGGAGGAGGAGGAGGAGGAGGACGTCCCCGAACTCCTTGATGGGTGGACGGATGACTGCGTTCGATCCGAATTCCGAGCCCGACAGCCACAACAACAGCGACAGAGGGCGAGGAACAGGAGGCGGAGGAGGAGGAGGAGGAGGAGGACGAGGACGGGGAGGACGAGGACGGGGAGGAGGAGGAGGAGGAGGAGGAGGAGGAGGAGGAGGAGGAGGAGGAAGGAGCAGAACGCCCCCCAACTCCGCGTCGCTGGTGGTGGCCGCTGCGGTCCCAACGGCGGCACTCGATGCGCCCGACGCGCGCTCGCCTTCGGCACATATCTGTTCGCCGTGCCCCCGCTCGCCCCGTCGCGTGCGGCCTGTGGGGAAATAGCCGCCGCAGGAGGAGGAGGAGGACGAGAACGAGGACG